CCTCCCTCCCTTCCTTCCTTCCTTCCTTCCTTCCTTCCTTCCTTCCTTCGAAGGAAGGATCAGTCCAGCTGAGCTTAAAGATGACCTGACATGAGGAACGTTAGACTGAGGATTTCCCCTCTAGTTTCAACTTAGTTTTGCTTAATAAACTTCTAGCTTACAGAACTTGAGCCTTTAAATCTCAGATATCTGCCTTAGAGGACTATTTAGAAATAAATGAGGTCTTGGAGGTTGCAAGTGTCTCATCTTTACCATAACATTTCACCAAGTACACTCCGAGGAAAGGCTGTGGATTAGTAATAACTAGAAATTCTTTCCTGAAATTAGAGAGTTTTTAAAACAGATTTCTTAGCCATTTCTGAGTTTCCATACCCATATACCTTTATGCCACTCTTCTAGCAGTCTGGTCCAAAGAGCATCTATTAATGATGGTAAACAAACAGTCCTAAAAAGTAACACAAAATAACAAAGAATCAATGTAAGCCTATTTCTTTCAGTTTTGATGGAAGGAAACACTGACTTCACAGAATATTTCATTTCAAAAGCAAGCAACAAGCTAAGTAGAAATACTACCTTAGTCCTATTGATGTTTCGATCTAGAAAGCAAAGTTGGAATCACTTGAATTCTACTTCATTTAAAATAAATGATTTGAGGAATCCCTCGAAAAAATTATTATTTTTTTCCTAGGCACACAAGTCTGGGTATAAGAGAAGTGAATAAAATTACAAGGGTATGAAAACCTGAAAGGAAAAACATTTATTAATTCTTGTCTCTTGCAGTCCAGTCCAGACATAAAAAAAACAAAAACAACCACCCCCCCCACACACAAATATCAATTCTTACACTTTTCTCTTTTTCACCCTAGGGAGAGATCCCCGGAGGTAAACGTGGATTTCCTTGCTTCTGAAGCTTCCAATTCTTTATTTTTTACATAAAACATATTATTCAAAAGCATGTTTAGTTGTTTTTTTTTGGGAAAAAAAATGCATTTTTTAATGCCAGAAGGGAGATGTTTTATGTTTCTTTTATGGTCTCTTCTTTTCACTCCACGTGAATAGGCTTACCAGTTTTATTTTTTATTCTCAGACCAACACAATTTCATGTTAAGTTGGACAAATTTATTCAACTCCAGTTCAAGCACTGATTTTTAAAAAAATAAATAAAGCAAGGTCAGGCTAGCTTTGCTTTTTTATATGTCCTTTTATAATAAATTCTCTCTCAAATGATGCCTCTGTGTATATTTTGACATAATCGTGGGTACGAGTGCGCACTGCTTGAAATCTGCAATGACACTGGAATATCTTTTCTTGCATTAGCATTATTTTAGCATTCCTGGGACAGGGGGCGGTTGGGAGGAATGCGGAGGTTTCCAGTTTATATGTACACCTCTGATGATTATTCCTGTTCCTCCAGCTACAGATCCAATCTCGCATCATGATGGATGCATCTCTCAGAGTTCAGAAGAAGTGTTGGCGAAAGGGAAGGGCTTTAAATAAGGCAACCGCGAGAGCCCAAGATGTGAAACTCAAAATTGAATGCCACAGCGTTAAATGATGATCTGATCCTCTTTTTGATTTCTTTTGCAATAACTGAGGTACATTTGGAGCCTCCTAGTATCGTGTGTGCTCACAGTACGAGGAACCCAGAACCACCACTGTGACCATCAGGTTCTGTCTTACCTGGTATCCCCTTTTAATCAGGGACTTCAAGGGCCAAGTCCTGGGAGGGCAGAGGTGTCACCACTTTTAGGGAAAATACATAAACCAGCATCCTCATAAGAGGCAGAAGAGGCAGGCAAAATGTTTGAGAAAAGCAAGAAAATCGGCCTATTGCTCCCATTTTATTTTAGGTATTGTAGGCCACTCGAGGCGCAGGCAGAAGGTTGCTGCTGATTTCAGCGTCCCGGAGCTTTGGGGCCGGTGCTGCTGGTTGGTTTCCAGAACGTTCTCATGGGTGGGATTTCATCAGAGGGACCCAAGAACTGTTCCTAGCTGAGGATTATTCCACACGAAGCTTAAGGAAGCTTCTTCCCGCCTGGCCGGGCGTGGCCTGGGGGTGGAGCATCGACCTATGATTGGAAATTGAGGTTCGATTCCCGGTCAGGGCACATGCCTGGGGTGTGGGCTCCATCCCCAGAGGGGGCCTGCGGGAGGTGGCCCATCAGTGACTCTCATCATTGATGTTTCTCTCTCTCTCTCCCTCTCCCTTCCTCTCTCTGAAATCAATAAAGACATATATATATATATATATATATTTTTTTTTTTTTTTTAAAAAGAAAGCATAGTCCCTTGGTTTTCTTGCACAGATGACGTGTTTATGATAGAAATGTTCGGCATGTGATAGAAATGTTCGGGAGTTAGTAGGCTATTTTGGTGTCCTCCTTGGTTAAAAACAAAATAAGGCATGAGGAAAGGAGAAAGGAAGGGTTCAATTCCTTTGCGATGTGATACTGTGCATTGCAGGCTCCAAGTTTAAAAGCGAATACTCTACACTAAGGTGAACTGTGACTATTCACAGCATTGTGCAAATTAAATTATAAAAATTGAGGAGGTCAGGAGGTAGAAAAAGGTGCTGATAGGAGCGGGGGTGGCCTGAGGGTGCTGCAGCTTGAGATCGGGGCGCTCACGGGATCAGGCACAAGGGGTCCGCCAACAGCCACTGGGGGAGGAAGAGGGGGGGACACTGATTTTGATTTCATTCTCTGCTTTGTCTAAGGCTGGGCTTGAACGCAGTCCTGGAAAGTTCTAGCAAATGGCCCTTAAGATAAATACCCCTCCTTCCAAAAATTTTGGTAACTTTCTTTGTTAGATAAGTATGCTAGTTAGTGGACCGCTGGTGGACCCAGGCACCGCAGATTAGAGGTTGGCTGTCATGTGCTTTGTCAGCATCTTTGTCCCTATTTTGTCAAATGAGGGCCTTCAGTGGTGTCTCACGACTTTCTACCTTCTAAAGTACCTTGTACCAAAGAATGAAACCTATCCCTCCATGTCTAAGAGCTGCAAGTGGGATTGGACAGCGCCAGGTTTATCTCTCCTGCTGTCAGCATGCCCAGTGATGATCATTTTTTAATACTAATTTGTGTACTTCTTTTTGTCAAAATCACGAGTCAACTTAAAACCATTTCCAAATGCTACTCTCACCTACTGGCTCCTTTGGGCTGGGTCACTAAATTTCTTCTGCAGTTTTCTTCAAAATGAGATAGGTATAGTTTTGGAGGAAATCTTCCTAAAGAGAGCTAAAGGGGACTCTTTTCCTTGAAAACAAATATTTTTATTTGTAATGTGCCTAAGTAATTCTGAGGGGCAAAATGCAGAACCCTGAGATAAGCACTAGGAAGCTTTTGTAGTCTCTTTCTCTCTATATATCTATGTATCTATATATCTAAATGTCTATATATCCATATATATCTAAATGTGTCTATATCTAGATATATAGATATAGATACAGATGATATAGATATTTATAAGCTTAAATATGTAGGCTTTTCCATACATATCTATATATAGCTTATATATATATATCAGTTTTCTCCCCTTATAGCGTTTTTTTGTCATATACTGAAAAAAAATTAGAATCTAACATCTTTTTTCCTCCTACATTCTCCTTGTCTCTAACTTATAAAGTTCTTAACTTAAGAACTTATTTTCTCTTTCAAAATATTCATTAAAGCACAAATGACTTTCTCCCTTTTGATGTTGCCAGAGAAACTTGAGCACTATGTAATTAAGCTTCTGTTTTAAAGTATTTCTCTCAACAAACACAGGCTTTCTAGGGCTAGGACTGCATAATAGATGTTATTAACTGTACATATAAATAGGAAATGTGTCTTGCAAAGCATTATATTTGCTGAATGAGTTTGCCTCATTTCAAAGTCCTCTCTTTACTAATGACTCATGAGTTTCCTTTCAATTATTTGAAAATAATGTAATCATAGGCTATTCTGTAATAATGTGACAGGTCTTATATTCATATCTGAACCTATTAATTAGAGACAACATACGTATTTATAATGTGCCTTTATTGTTCAAGTTGATCCCTTTAATCCTATTTGAATGGGCAGATAAAACTTAATCCCTTCAAACATCTTTCTAAACAAACATTTAAATTCCCGTACTTTCACCTTTGTTCTTGGCACCGACGCTGAAAGCTTTCTCGAGGGAGGCTGATGTAGGAGCAGTAAACAAGCGATCTGGGAAGAATAATATCCAAATTCTTTTTCTTTGCAAATAAGAGATACATATTTGCAAAAGAGCTCTTCCAGCCTACAGGGGTCTGAAATCACAGAGACTTCTTTTAAAGAGTTTAGCAATGTCCTTAGAAATTAATGATGCAATCATTCTCCGGTCGTAGGGTAGTTGTAGGGGTCCTTGACTCCGATTATGAAACTGTCTGTCTCATAAAATAAGCAGATGTCTGTTTGAAGACTTTCAGCCAAAGAGAACCAGGGCAGTGCAAGGCCTTGAGGTTTCTCAGAGGGTCCTTTGGACTAGGCATTTACTAATGTAAAAATAACAGAGAGAAGCCATGTGGAAGGCAATTTTGTATACTTTTTTTGACACTGTGATCTGCACACAGCTAGGTCACTGGAAAAGGAGAGGAAGCAATTGTTTTTCCCTGCTGTGAGCAGTGGATTTGAACATGCCTCACACTGTTCTCACGCTGTGTTTTCTTTCCCTCGCCTTTCCCCATAACACAAGTGTAAACTGAGCTCATAAAAGTCCTTTGGGCACTAGAAATAACACAGCCTATCCGCTGATGAACTGATTATCTTATTTCATTTTTTCCCCTAGAATTATGCAGGGTGCATCAATTATGTATTGATAACTTTTTTAGACCAGAAGAAACTGCATATATATATATATGTGTGTATATATATATATATATGTATGTATAAGTTTTCTATATGAAGTATAGAAAATTTGAGAAATATTTGAAATAGTAAAATAAAAATAAGACAAAAAATCAATAATTTTAAAAATAAGAGATAACTATGTTTAATATTAGTTTTATTTCCTCTCAGGCTTTATATGGTTTAATAATTGGAATCACGTACTAGCAATAGTATGTCTTTTTTAATGTTATTAAATTGTCTTTGAAAGCATATTTTTAATTAGCTATATAACATCTCAAACATTTCCCCTTGTCACTCTCTGCGAACAGCCCAACATCTTCCTTTCGTCTTTAGCTAAAGATGGTAGTTAAGATGATGGCCTGGACCATTTTCAAGATTTTGCTTAGTTTTTCTGGGTATCTCCCTGCTGATAAACTTCTGTTTTTCTCTTGTTGATATGCCTTTTATTGCAGGGAGCCTTAATCAGGAACTAGGAAGGGTAGAGGGAAAATTAATTTTCCTCCCCTATGAAACCATTACCTATTAGTGAAAGATCACAGTAGAAAAAGTAAAAATTTAGCCTTTCCCCATATTGGTTTCTCTTGACCAGGAGGAAATGGGCATTAAGGTGAAACATTCATAATCTCACAGAGTTCATGCCCCTCTTCCAAGTAGAGGCTCACCAGTACTGGTGGTCAAGAGCTGAAATAAATGATTCAAAAATCTCTGAGAGAAAAAGAAAATGCAGGGAGAGTAGTATTAACTCAGGACATTCCTAATATAGCTCATTTAAAAAAACCTTGAAATAGTGAGTTCTTGGCTTCAGGCCTCTAAATTAAATTAGGAAGATGATTTAAAAGTCAAGGATAACCTCTCAGAAGTGAGTCCAAGCGAANTAGGAAGATGATTTAAAAGTCAAGGATAACCTCTCAGAAGTGAGTCCAAGAGAATACATCCTAATTAAGGAGACACAGGACATTTAACAAATTGGGAGAAGTTGATGTAAAGCCAAGATTCATCCACCAAGAAGTCAGGCAATTCCAGCGACGTTACCTTCTTCCTTTCCCATTACATGTTGGGTTGGAGTTGGCAGGTACCTGACTTTGAGGAAGCGCATCTGAGCCTGACGGGAAGACCTGTGCATTGCCCAGGGGTCCAGGGCCCTAGCTGGAGGCCACACCGGTTGAGTGGAAGCCGGTGGCAGAGACTTGGTTGCTCACCAATGCCCATTTCCTCTTCTTGCAGTTACATAGCTGGACCATGTTTCTCTCTCTTCCTTATAGTTCAGTGTGGCCATGTGATTGGGTTCTAGTCAGTGGAATGTGAGTGGAAATGATCTGAGCCACTTCTAGGCCTACATCCCCAAACCCTAGCCTTTTCTCCTTCATGCCCAGTTACCCCCAAAGCCTGCTGCTGAAGACAGCAGGACCTCTGGCAACCTACATCCCTGAACTGCTGTTTGGATCAGACTTCTCCCACCACTCTCTCCAAGCTGGACTCATCTTCAACGTGTAGGTGAGCAGCAAATAAATGTCTATTTAGTTTGAGCCAGTATGTATTTTTGGATCTATATGTTATAGCAGTTAGCCTGCTCTGAATAATACAGGAAAGGTTTTGACACATGGCAGAGGAGATGACCAACAACTGTAGGCTTCTTTAGGTCTTTTTTAAAAAAAATTATCTTTATTGTTGAAAGTATTACATGTGTCCCCTTTTATTTTCCATTGACCCTTTCTACCCTGTACCTGCCCCCCATCCCAGGGCTTCATGGCACAATTAATTGCTCATAATCTCAGGTGAGGAGCGGGTCCTCTCTTTTAACAGTCTTAAATAGCATGGAGGGAAGCTGTTGCTTTTTTTGATTTTATGTCCATTCTTGAGACATGGAAAAAGGCAAGGCCAGCTCCCAACTTCACTTTGAAGCCACATGGGATTTCTACGCTGGAAAAAACAAATGTGTTACCAAGAGTGACAAGAAGGCTGATAAACTGAAACAACTTTTGAACAGTATAATCTGGACCAAAACAGATAATTCTCTAGTGCACATAGTATGAGACCTTTCGTATAAACATTTTTTGAAGGCTGTGTGCCTGTGTGTTTGTATGTATGTGTATTGTAGGTCAATTTGTTTCCTACTTCAAAATTTAAAGTATAAAAACTAATGTTAAATACCGTGACACAAGTAATATTGGACAATTTTTCTTATCTAAGATAGTGAATGTTGTTTAAAGTAAGGGGGTCATATTATTTTGAAATTAGTATTAATTATTAAATTACTATTTTTGGCATTATATATGAAAATTTTCAATATTATTCAAAATTTCAAAATTAAATTTGACATTTTTGTTTAATGTATTTAAAAATCTAATTTGGTTGAATTAATAATGACTTTGGTTGTCTACTCTGACTTGTGTTTCTCCTTTGATTCACTGTATGATCATCAGGAGCAATTTTTTATTTTTTAGCAAGTTTCCTGGAACATAGTAATGTATTTTCTGAGCCTTCCATTTGAGAACATTTTTTTCATTGCCTTTGTACATAAAAAAATATATATATCATGGCTGACCACGGAATTTTTGGATCTTATCTTCTTCTACTCAGATCTCCCAAGACGAGTCCAGTTCTTCTGACACTCAATAGTGTAAGGGAAGCTAAGGTTGGTTTAATTTTTATTTCTTTGTAATTTTTTTCTTTTATCGTTGCTGAGAGAATTTTGTATTTACTGTTGAAATTTAAAAATGCTGCCAGGAAAATTCTAGGTATTAGCTATTTCTCATGTACAGTATTTCATCAATTACAAGATGAATATTGTAACTCATTTCAGTCAATAATTAGGAAGAATTGTGTCATAGTTTAATTGGCAGCATTTTTTCTTTCATAGTGCACCTGAAAATAATGATATGTTTTAGAATCAGTGCAACCTCAGGTTTGATGAAATAGTACATTATGCTTTCTAACAATATATTTTGTTTGTATCTGTCCCCTCCCTGCCACTGCCCTAAGGGGCAACATGTAGCACTGAGCGCCACTGTCCTTTTTCATAATCGTCTCTTAGGCCTGTTCCTCTGCCCTTTCCTGTTCCATATGTGAATGTTGACTTCCCCATTGCATTCTTTATTTCCCTGGATGTGTTTTTATATAGCCCAACTATTTTTATTTACATATTTAAAAAATATTTTAATAACATTTTAATTAACATTTTTAAAACATGAAAATGGTACTTGCATATGGTAAAACTATAATATAGTAATTAAGTTGTATTATATTAGTATAGTGTAACCTTGACATACATAAAACTGCTACATTCTTTTTAACCACTGTATGCTACTAATTTGCAGTCATTTATTATACTTTATTTGGCCATTCCCTCGGAACAGACACTTGGATTGTGTCTGGTCTTTTGGTATTATAAACAGTGCTGCAGTGAACATCCTTCTACATAGATTTTTTTCCATTTCCACAGGTGATAACTATAAAATGATTTCTAGAACTGAATTGATAGGTTGAAAGGTAATCTGTATTTTAAATTTATATAGATGGTGCCTATTTCCCACCAATGAGTTTATAACAATTTTTATTCTGGCGATGGTCTTTGAACAAGCTTCTAATCCTTGTTACTTGCTCATGAAACAAGTAAATGTTTCATTATATATTATCAAAATTATTCTTTTTCCCAAAATTAAATTTGGAAAACACTAGTTTTAACATGTATTTCCTTAATTTCAAGAGGGAGAGTTTAAGCTATTTTCATAACTTGTTTTCCTTCACTCCTCCCTGTATCATCATTGTTTGCATTCTTTAATTTTTATAAATGTTTAATCCATTGTTTTGTTCATGTTTATTACATTCACATTTTCCTATTAATTTGTAAAAAACTTATTATATTGAAAATTTTTATGAAATAAAATGCAGTAATTTTTCATGTTTGCTGTTTTGTAACTTGTTTAAAGCAGTCTTACTCTAAGGCTATTTGTTAAAAATAGATATTTTGTTCTAGGACTGTTCCAGTTCTGTTTTTTTTTACATGTATAAGTTGAATCAACCTGAAATTTATTTTGTATAAAGAGTTAGGTATAGATTTAGCTTTTTGTTTTTATAATAGTAAACTGGTCATTCCAACATCATTTTGATAGTGGGGAAAGGACAGAGCCACAGTTGTTTAATAACCATCCACCTTACTAACTATAGGTAAGAAGTTTTCCTACAGACCCTGGGAAACTGGAGGCTGAAACAAGGCTGTGAAAAGATAAGATGCCTCGGTGGGTCCATTACTCAGGAAAGAAATACATTCTGAGAACAGACCAAGGACAGGACATGCTTTGGTTTCGTTGCTGTGCCTGCACCCTGAGCCCCTCCGGGAGTTCGCCTCAGGAACGCTGACCATTCTCTGGTCCCAGGAACAGGCTGAGCTGCTTGTAGCATCATAGATTAGCCCCCTGGTCATCGGACTGGACCTTGAGCTCCTGAAGGCCGGACCGCAGACCCTCCCCTCCCCTTTCTCTCTTACACCTGTAGCTCACAGCAGCATGTAGTTAGCTTCTCCCTCACCGGTATATACCCTGCGAACTGGCGAGGGGAGTCAGAGCAGAATTTCCAGGGTGACCGACTGCTCTCCCATTTTGCGGCAATAATGGAATAAACGCTCACATATGATTCAACCCTGTCTCTGCTTAATTTGGCTAAAGTAGTGACAGGCGGCCTCAGACCCTTTGTGTCTGGTTTCAATTTTATTAACTAATCACTTTTCCCCTACTGTCCTGATTTAAAATGTGATATTAATTATAAACTAATATTGAACAATGTATTTATTTCTATTTCTAAACTCTCTGTTCTCTTCAGTTAATATGCTACATATTTTTGGATAAATATTAGTTTCAATTTCTGTAGCTTTAAAATATATTTTATTATTTTATGTGAATGCTCAGATTCTCTGCCCCCAAGCCCAGAATTTTCATGACTGCTGTCAGGTACCCCTTTTCCTTTCAGTGATCATGTTGTTATTTACATTGAAATTACATTTGATTTCTAGGTTAACTTATGGAGAATTTTATCCATGTAGTATTAATCTATTTAAAGACAGGTTTTATCTTTCTGGTTTCTCACCTCTTTTAGGTTAATAGTTTAAATCATTCTTTTTCCAAATAAGCCATACATATTGATTGTTATATTTATCTCTAGTTATTTTGGTTTTGTTTGTTAGTTCTTAAAATGTGCTATCTTCTTTCATTATATTTTCTAACTCACGTGTATGGGAAAGCTATTGATTTTGTATATACCACCTTGGTGAATTGTTATTATGCTTTACTTTTTTGTTTTTGTTTTTTTAGTCGATTCTCTTGAAGTTTCCATGTGTATAATAATACTCTTGGCATGTAGAGACAATTTCCTCTCTTTTTTCCAGTATGCATATCTCATGTATTTCCTTTGATTTTGATTGGTTAACATATAAGCTATAGAGTTTAAAAAATATTTTGCATATCACTCCTCTCTTATAGAACAGATTTCTACTCTTCATCACAGTAGAAGATATATGTGGTCCTTAGTGAAATCTTATCATTTTAATGCACTTTATCTCATAATTTAGCACATTTTAAAAAATTTTCATTAGCTGGCTCCAAGTTGGTTGCTCCTATACCTTGATAGTCTCTCTACCTGGTTCTTCCAAAGGTGGCTTATATAAAAAAATTTCCCCTTGACTTTACTTCACCTCGCGCTTCCTGGTGTGAAGAAGTGTTTGGACCAACGTGTGTATTGCCTGCACTACAGATCTGCTTGTTCTAACTCTGAGCATTAAGCATCTAGAATCTTCAAGAAACAGCACATTCTTTAAAGGACCGTAGAGCTTTGTGCACGCTTTCAGGGCCCTTATTCAATGTCATCCTAAAGTCAACGTACTTGGCAGCTATTTTTTATAACCTGGGACCTGGGGTTGTGACTGTGTCCTGGTTTCATACGGTTGGAGATTATTGTTTTCATCTTTTTATTATTTTTTTTCATGTGAGTGATAGAAGTGAAGGAAAGCTGAACGAATGCCACAATCTTCATTCCTAATGCAGCTGGTTTGCTTTATACTTTATCTTTTAATAAAGCCCTCTTTCATCTTATCTTGTTTGATAAAGTTTATGTTTTCTTATATTTTATTGAGAACACAAAGTAATGCATTCTAAAATAGATGTATTCTTAATTTTTCTCATTTATTTTATTTTAAAAATAATTTTTATAGGTTTCATTTCCTCCATCTCATTAGACCAATTTTTCCTTCCTTTTATGGTATAGATTTAAAAAATATATAATAATCCTTATCTAGTTTGTATGCTTTACTTATACTTGAAAGTGTAGAGAATTTGCCACGTCTTGCCAAACAACAGACTGTGTATAATCTCTTTGATATTTTTTTATGGTTAATGTGGGGATGGGGTAGAGTGTTAGAATACACTGTTCAGGTTTTTGCTGGAGAATAGCAGGATGTTCATGGCCCCCAGCTAAACGTGTAATCTGGCAGGCATTTATCTAATGCAGTTTGGCTGGCTTGAGGCGAGATGAACTTTGTCATTGAATGGTGTATGCCTTTCCCTTTACTAGATGGTTCTGTAGCTATTTACATACCAAAAGTCTATAGCAGTTTATAAGTTTTAATTTTCAGAGGCAGGCATTTGACTATCGCTGGGGTTGTTGTTTCAGAGAGTGGTTTAGCCCCAGGTAAGCCAAGTTGCCATTTAACATCTGCATCATAAAAGATCTTTATAGCTCATTGTACTCCAAACAAAGTAAGGCCACTGAAGTGCAAAATAACCGCCAATATCTTTTTGTGGTTGTTTTTGGTATAAATGGCTAGCCTTAAAAAGGAATCCTGCTGCTTTATAAATTATTTTAATCCTGCATTTATAGAATTATTAAAGGTTTTGAAAGGCTTACTGTACTTTATTAAATTTCATGGGGGAAATTATAGGCTAGCTTGCTGTTATATAATGTGACTATTTAAAGATTGGGATTTTTTTTTTTTCCTCCTGTGTATCATGATTTTTCCTAAAAAGCTTCTTGAAGCATTTTGACTTATGCAGAACTGAATTATCTGGCTTATTTCTTGGCTCAGTTTTGTGCCTCTTGACTTTGTTACTACTCCTTTAACTATTTTACTGCTCTATAATTTGAATTTACATCTGGGTTGAGCAAAGGAAGCAAGAAGAGAGGAATTTGTAGTCATTGCTTTCACATGTTGATTTACGGTCTTGCATGAGTCTCACCAGCACTAAAATGTTTGGACCTATTTCTCTACTACCAAGAAGAAAAGGATCCTCTTACGTTTGCTAGTGATATTCCTATTTCTCAGCAATTATAATATTTTCCTCTGGACTTTGAGATGTTAAAATCATTTACAGAAGTGTCAGAGTTGGCACACAAATATATTCAACACAACTCTCCTTTTAAATGGAAATTTTCATAACAGTTGAGTTGGTGCCTAATTTGATTCTCTGTCAAATGCCTGTGGGTTAGGGTAATCCATGCCAGGCTTTTTACCTCTATTTTCATAAGTAATCAAAAATTGTTTGAATGTGCAAGTTAGTCTAATTCTATATTAATTCACTGAACTATAATGTCATTCTGAGAAACTCTAATGTAAACGATGCCCTCCCAACACCTCCCTACCTCAGGGAATTAGATCAGAATGTGACATTCAACCTCTATCCACAGAGACAAAATGAAGTGCAGAACTGAATTAATTAGCCAGATATTTCAAATAAAAGTAATCCACTATTGAGGAGAAAGTAGGAGTTTGAGGCTAGATTTTTTTCCCCCCCAAAATGACTAAATTCAGCAGATAACTAACAGTTCGACTCACCGGATAATTGGCAGCTCCCCTTTGTGGATGTAGGTTTCTAGTCTTAGTCTTTTAAGAACTCAAATTCTTGGAATAAAATTCTGTTAGAACTAGAGTCACTCCTTCCAAAAACTCTATTCTCACTGAATTTAAACTTTTTCCCCCTGACAGGTCCCTCTTTTTCCTTTCAGTGTTACCTAATTCAGCAAGAAGGGCCAAGTTGATATTTAAAGCCGCTCTCCCTAAAATACCTCTCATAATAAATTAATTTCAAATAAAAGAAAAGAAAAAGGAGAGTTCTTTTTCATTGTAAAACCTACCTCTTCCTCTTTCCTAGGTAGGCGATGCCAACATCTATAAGCTTTATCATTGGTGAGCTTTTTGGAGGGAAATCGTTCCCTTATCTAAGTAAACCAGATGAATGAAAATCATCTCGAGATTAAAAATGATCATGTGGACATATTCAAACATTCCTGAAGTTAGTCACTGAGAATATAAAAAAAGTATAATGGTGGTTGATAGTAAATGGACGTCCCATAGTTTCAAAATATTTACCACGTAAGTGGGGTTCAGGCCCTACTGGTATCAGACAAAGAATGTTCTCATGAATACAGTACTTGCCAGACCCTTTGAGGAAGGACACCAGGAAAATGGGTTGAAATGAGTCAGATCTGGTGGTGAAGACAGAAAGCCTTTGGGACTGGTATTTAAAAGGGCAAGTTTGGAGCTTCTCTGACGAAAAAGAAGAGCCGATTCTTTGTAACCAGGGGTGTCAAATGTAATATAAAAAGGAAGGGCAGCCAGGCTGCATGAACTCGCACAAAGCAGCTGGAAGGGAAAGGAGCTGTGTGGACAGGTCAGGAAGAGACGGCCCCGGCCCTCCACGCACACGGCTTTCGGGGGGACTGAAGGCCCAGCCCCGCCGCATCCAAGACGCTCACACAAGGAGAACGGCAGTTGCTGAAATAAAATTTACACTGATCTGATCATAAATGCCTAAATGACAGTTCCTTGGGGTTCGTGTTTTCCTCCTCTCTTGAGTCAACTTGAGACTAAGACACTCTATTTTAATTTCTTTATGGTGTAAAGCTATCCAGCAATGAATGCCTTGGGACCCTTTTGAAGCCAACAGCCAGCAGAGCAGCAAATCTGTTCAAAGACACATTTCCTTCGTGGTGCGTGCGCCGCGTGAAATACCCCGAGAAGGACCATGAAAATCAGTGTAGCTTTTGGGAGGAAATGATCCGCTAACGTTTTTGTAGAGCTGGTATTAAAAAGAGAAAAACTTCATTTTCTGTAATAGAAGCTGTGGAACAAGTAACGAGAAAACATTTCCATTTATCTTAATATACAAAGACAAGCCGAAGTGGCATGGCATATTTGGACAGTAGCAATGTTAATTTTTTTTTTTCTTTGACAAAATAAAAATACACTGCCGTATCCATAGAGGACCCAAAGCTTAGCGAGGAGGTGTGTTGAAACCGTTACACCATGAGGTTGGCAGCTCCAGAAATGCTGACGGAAATTGGCTGTATCATTTATTCCATGTGCAACTACTACGTTTACCGTGCCAGAAGGGAAGGGAGAGGAATTATATACAAACCCTGCTCTCAGGAGACTTACACACTAGCAGACAAGTGAAGGCAAAAATAAATAGGAGGTAATTACGTGCCACAAGAAAGTCCCTGGGATTGAGGATTGGAATATGTAACAAGTAATGATTTCTTTCAGCTGGGTAGATGAAGTGAAACTTGAGCTACACCTTGAATATGTAGCTTTTAAACAAACAAATGGAACAAGGATCACCTTCCTGGCGGAGGGAACAAGCATGATCTGTCGGCTTCTCTCCTATTTACCATCATGAGGACAGTACTTGGCACATAGTAGGTATGTAACAGATATGTGCAGACTGATTGAATAAAGTAAACAGCCTACTCAGCAAGAGCATCAAGTGAGGGGAAAGTAGATGAAAAACATAAGGTGGGAAAGACACTGATATTTAGGTTTTATTCTCCAGCCAACAGAGGGCCATTAAAGATCTTTATTTTTAATTATGTCATGTAAGCAAGAGGAGATGAACAACCATGGCTTTAAAACTGTCTGCTTTACTTGCTGGGCCTATGTATGTAGATAAAGGGGATAATTGATAGTAAGGGAAAGAAGATTTCTCTCTGAAGGATCAATTATAAAATAATCATACAGAGAATTAGATCCAATCAATCACTTTTTTTTTTTTTTTTTTTTTTTTTTA